AAAGCAGCCATCTTTCTAGGAGATTTGCCAATAACCCATCCAATAAACTTGCCTTTCAATCCTCTAATCACCTCTGTCCACTCCAGCCCTCCCGACCGCCGGCCTCTGCCCAGAGCTCTTCCACCTCTGGTCAGCACTGCCTGCCCTCCTGGTTCTTGCCTGCAACCCACCACATCTGTCCTTTCACTCCACCAAGAACCTCACTCCCTCAATCTGTCCACTCCATCCTGGCTTCACCTTCCTCTTGGTGGACCACTACTTCCACTTCTCTTGTTACTATCTCCAAATCCCTTGCTTTCTTGTCTCCCTGTCTAGCAAAGCCCAGTTCTGGATCAGCCTCACCGGTAGCCTTCTCCATGCCTATCTCAGGGCTGATGGGATGCTGAAGAAATCCCACAACCCCACAGATTAGTGCCCCCACAGGCCCATGGTCTCCAGCTTCAGCACGCCCTCAGTACTGCCCTGCAGTTTCTGTGGGTCGCTGTTAGCTTTTCCTGTTCTTTTCCACAGCCATCATTTTGAACCTTTTCCTCTTTCTTCACCTTTCCCACCCCATCCCACCTCCTCACACTGAGCACATATCCTAGCTCTCAATATCAGAGAAGTAATGGCTATCAGGTGTGAATTCCCTTCAATTTCCTGAGCCCACCTCCCAATTACCTACCTACATCTCTAACTCCTTTCTTCCTCCCCTCCCATCTTCAAGAAAAAGCAGGTCCTCCTCCTGATCGAGTCTCGCTCTGAACCCCACCACCTCCCACCCTCTTGCTGGCTTCACTCCATCCTTCAATCCCTCTCTCTTCTTTGTCTTTAACTGTCCCTCTACTGGCTTCTCACCATTTATTTTTAAATGCCATAATCCCTCCCAACTCAAAACAAAATTGTTCCTCAACCCTACATCCCTTCTGGTTTTCTTCCTCCTCCCCTTCAAAACCAATCTACTCTCAAGAGTTGTCTACATCCACCCCCATTCACTCAGACTTCTGCCTCTGCTACTCCACTGAACCTACTCCAAGGTCACCAGTAACCTCTTTGTTGCTAAATTTGGTGTTTGTTTTTTCAAACCTTGGCTTATCTGATCTTTCTGCACCATGTCACCCCACTTTCTTCCTTTGGCTTCTGTGGCACACCATTCTCTGATTTTCCTCCAATCTTTTTGACTATTTTCACCTTTTCTTCTGGGCTGCTCTTCCTCTACTTGTCCCATAAATGTTGGAATTTCCCCAGGGGTTTTGGTCTTCTCTGCGACTCTCTCTACTGAGGGATTTCATTCATTCCTGTGGCTTCAATTATGACCATATGCCAATAATTTGATAATTTATGACTCTATCTCCAGACCAGATGTCTCTAAACTCCAAACCACCTACTAGATATCTCACCTGGACATACCACTACACTCAACTCAAACTCACTTCCACCTCTTCCTACCTAACCCTGCTCCTTTACTATTTCTCCTCTCAGGGGAGACCTTTAGCATCCATCCACTTAGATACCCAAGGCAGAAACCTGGGCATCATCTCTAACTTGCTACTCTCCTCCATGTCCTCAGCTCATCACTCACAAAGCCTTCTGAATATTTACCTCCTTAATATATCTCAAATCCACCCTGTCTTTTCCACTGTGTGGGATCACTGCAGCAGCTTCCCAATCCATATCCCAGCCTCATCTTTTCCTGGCCATTCTCCACATAGCCCCTAGACCTTTTCAAAATGCACGTCTCCTTAAAAACCTTCATTATCTTTAGAATAAAGTTATATCCTCAGCTTAATATACTAGATTCTTCAGGATCCAGCCCTGGTCAATCGCTCCAACTCCTCAGTGTGTGAGATTAAGCATCTGGTTAATTCCCTTCTAAATATGAATACCTGTAGAACTTCACTGAGACCTTTTCCCCCCCTCTAAGAAGGTAGAAGGCTAGCATAATGCTCTACTGGAATCCTTTAAAATTCTAGCTTCTAAGCATCTAGAATTCCATTCGTTCCTTTAGGGTTCTATGCCCTAAAACCACCCCTAAAAAATGGTAAAACAAATATATTGAACATTTTCTCATGAATCAGGCACTTTATCTCATTTAATTCTCACAACTCTGAGGTACACATCATTTCCATTTCACAAATGAGAAAACTGAGACCTAGGAAGATCAAAGATTAAATAACCTAACCAAAGTCATGCAACTAGTAGGAGAGTGAATGGGGACTGGAACTTATATTACCCAAGACATTATCTCCTGCCTGTTTATTCATAGTCAAACCAATTTCTGATAATCCAAGATGAAAAATGTGGAAACAGACTAATATTTGGTAAGTGCTTAATATTCATGAAGTAATTTACATAAGGCATCTCATGTATTCCTTACAACATTTTCAAATAAGCAAACTACAGATCCAAGAAGGCAGTTTATGCAAAGTCACACAGCTAGTAAGTGGGTTTAAATTTCCCCACCTCCACCCTTACTAGCTGCTCCCTTATACCAATAAACATCATTTTACAACTGAAGAAACAGGTCCAGCCCAGAGTCACACATCTATTGAGAAGCAAAGTCAGGATTAGGACTCATGTTTCCTGACTCCACTTGACTGGGTAGATGCTATTTTAGTCCCTGAGTGCTGGGAGAATTGTGGAACCCTGACTTTTTCCTGAAAACTAACACTACTACTGAAAAGCTAAACTGATCTCCAAAAGGTTTCAGCTCAGGCTCCAGGCAGGCTTCTCTGGTAGCCCTCTGTTGATACTCTGCCAGTACCCACCTTGTGGCATAGTCCTTACCCTATCCACTTTTCCAACGGCCTCTGCTCTCACAGAATCAGGCACTCTCCATGAGCACACATCTCATTTCCCCCTCCCTCCTTACAGTTTTCTCATCTTCAGTAATGAGGCCCCATCTGTTCACCCAGCTCCAATTGCCTTCCCTCATGGTTTAGCCAGGCTCAGATCCCCTCTGCCATGCATCTTAGAAGTCCTATTAGTTCTTCCCTAAATGTCATCCGTTTTACTCATTCCCCCACCCCAGCCTTCCCTCCCTGCTTGTCACCGACTCAAGGATGACAGGGTTGTTTTCTCTCAGGCTCTGTCTCTTTGGTTTGAATTAGATTCAGGGTAATAGTCCCTTTGGTTACTTCCTTTTTGGCCATGAATTAATTATTCCCATATATTCGAGCATTCTCCCCAGAATGCCTCAGCTGACATATATCCAAAACGTCCGGAGGGGGTGACAAATGAAACATGTATGGGATTAATCGAACCAGCTAGCCAACACCAGAACCTTTAGTGGGGAAAGATTCAGAAAAGATGCTACCTAGCAAGGTGGGACATCACCACTGGGAACTTGCGATGTTAAGCAGAGGGTTGAAGAAGGGGAAGGAACCTCGGGCTGTCTCTGCTTCATAATTGGCAGGAGCAGATCTTTCCCAGAAAGGGAGTGGGAGGTAGGGCATTTAGGCACAGGAAGGAGTAGGGCCAACAGCTAGAAAGAGAGGAACAGGAAGAACTGATGACATTTAGGGGAGAATTGACAGGAATCATAGGCATGAATCTATCAATTCCTAGCATCACAGTATTAGAAGGGCTCCCAAAGCATTCAGAAAAAATTCCAACCCATTGTACAAATGACATAAACATTTCTTCAAAGGGATAGCATCCCTCTAGTGGAATACCTCCAGAAATGAGAAATGCTTAACCTTAGGAAATCAGGATTTGGGAGGTATATGTGAGTTTCAATTAAATTTCAGCTCATTTTTAATTCAACAAATATCTGTCTCTATATATTAATATCTATTGAGTACACACTAAGTGCCAGACGCTACGGGAACTGGACCCTATTTGTAATACAGACATGGTCCCTGATATGCGGATCTTCTAATCTAATGAGGAAGATGGATGCATAAATATGCAAGTAGAATAAGGGAAGTAGAGGGTGTCTCTCAAACACAGAGTGGGGCACCTAACACAGACCCGGGCATCTAGAAGTTTTCACAAAACGGGCTGCCTCTAGAAAGGGGCTTGAAGGGTGATGAGAAGTTAGCTGAGGGCAAGGTGGAGGGGCCCACGGGAGTCAGAGAAAACGGGTGCTTAAGCCTTCCCAGCTTCCAAAGAAGTCAGAGTGTTGCAAGAAGAAGGCGGAGTCCCAAATCTTGAAGGCCCTTCTAGCCACGCTAAGGAGTGTGGTCTTAATTCCAGAGGCAATGAGAAGCCTGCGAAGGATTTTAAGCCGGAAAAGCGCCCTCTGTCTGGCTGCGCTGGGGGAGATGCTGCGGTATCCGGGGGTGGGGTGAAGGAACCTGGGATGGGAAGGCCTTGGTAGACCAAGGAATGTGACGAAAAGTAAAGAGCTCCTCTATGGCAAGATCGAGACACAAATAAAGGGATAAAGTTCAGAATATGGTGTGAAGGTCTTCTCCATCTTCCCTCACCTTTGCTGGGAGGGAACCAAGGGGTTCACCCTCGGTTTGTCCCATCACCATGGGGTGTGGGCTGGGGGACTGCTCCTCTCCCCTCTTCCCAGACAGGAAAACTGAGGCCCAGGGTCCCGAAGTGGGAATCGAAGAGAAAAAGAATCCAAACGGCCTCCCAAGAGGTCTCGCACGATCCTTCCAGGGTCCCACGGCCTGCCCCATTTCTCCACCCGCCATCCCCAACAGGCCGTCTTTGCTATGGAAACCGTCCTCCCGCCTTCCTCCGTGCCTCCGTTCCTTCAATGCACCCTGGGAAATGCAGTCCATCTCTGATTGACTGCCCGCGACATGAGCCCACTTCAAGTACTTAAAGGACTACAAGTTCCAGAAGGCCGTGCGAAAACCCCGGCGGTCTCTGGGGGATGTGGTCTTGACAGAGCTAGACCCAGGAGCCCGCGGGCGGGGCCGGAGGAAGAGGGGACGGCGCTCCCAATGGGCAGCCTCCTGGGCGGGCCCCATGTCTCCATTGGCTACGACGGCGCGGGGGAGGCGGAGTCAGAGGAATGAAGCGCGGAGCTGTTCGCCGCTCCAGGTGCTGAGTCCGAGGGAAGCTCCGGACGCGAGAGCCGCGGTCGCCGCCGCCGGGAAGACGGGGCCGTGAGGAGCGCGCTGCCGGGCGCTGGCCGCCCTCACGCCCGCTGCCTGAGGTCTGTGCTGCTGGATTCGCTTTTGTTTTATTGCGGAGGGGATAAACTGAGGCGGGAGGGGGCCTGGGGAGTTGATGGGACGTGTCCTCGCTGCTCTCAAGACCATCTGCCCCGGAGAGCTGCTGACTGACTCCGGGTCTCCCGTGGCCCGGCGCCTGAGGTCCTAGCAGCTTGGGTTAGTTTTTGTTTTATGGTGAGGCGGGCTCTTGACAGTGAGGGGCGAGGGCTGGAGGACACCCCCCCCCCGGGGGGGAGCGTTGGACTCTTGGAGCCGCCCTGCCCCTGTGCCTGAAGGGCTGCAGGATTACGGAGGATGGGGGGGGGAGAGGTTCTGAGGCGGGGGGATCCTTCCCCACAACACCTCAGCTACTTGACGTTACAAAGGGGTCTGGATGTGAAAGATGAGACCGCGGGCCTCCTCCCCTCCTTGGGTTATTGAGGAAGCGCACTTTTGGATTTAAGGAAGACCCTTCCCCACGCCCCCTCCTCCCGCAGCCTAGGGTTTTGTGAAGAGGGGTGGTTGAGGACGTGGGTGAAAACAGAGTGCTCTTTTCCCTTCCACTTGGACTCTCCTAGGTTATTGGGGGAGGGGAGGGGATTGGAATGTGAAGGGAAAAGACCCGGAGCCCCCTCCCCATCCTGCTGAGAGTGGCTGGTGAAAGAAAGCACTGACGGATGCTCAGGGTCCTCCGCGCTCCGGGCCCGCCCCTAAGGCCGGAGTGGCCTGGGTGTGGGAGGTGGGGGGGGGGGAGTAACAGGAGCTGAGGAACCCCTCCCCACATCTACCCCCCGGACCTTATCTCCCAGGCCCTCCCTACCTGGATCCAAGCCCGGGGCCATAAATTGAGACCATCCTCCGTGCCCCGCCCCGCCCCGTCGACCGGGGTTCCTGCACCGCTGCTGCGGGTCGACCCCATATGGGCATGTGCGCGGCGGGACAGGGCGGGTTCCCTTTCAAGCATCCCGGAGCTCCAAACAGACGCCCTACGCGAAGGGCTGCTCCGCTCGGCTCGGGGCGCGCTCCAGATCGGGCCGCCGGGACCCGCGTCCCGGGCGCGCGGCGGCAGCTCCTGGGCGCGGGGCTTTGGCGCTTGGCTCAGGCATCTGCGAGAGGACAAACAATATCAGGTATTTAAATACCTGATATTCTTTGGCGCTTGGCTCAGGCATCTGCGAGAGGACAAACAATATCAGGTATTTAAATACCTGATATTCTTTGGCGCTTGGCTCAGGCATCTGCGAGAGGACAAAGCGGCGGTCGCCGCACTGGCAGTCTGCGCCGCGGGCTGGGCGGGGGGCGCGGCCCGGGGAGGGGGGGCTTCGGGCGCGGCGCGGGTAGCTTCCACAGAAACGTGCCAGGAGCGGGGCGGGAGACAAAGCGTGCTCGCTCCTCGCGGGCCCGCGCGAGTCGAGATGGAAAATCCCGAGGGAGGAGCAGGCTCCCCCGGCGCTATATCCTACACCCTCCTCTTTTCCCGCACATCCTCCCCCCCCACCCCCCGCCGGCCCGGCACCAAAGATGCCTTGTGCACGATAGTGATTAGAACCCCTTCTGGGAGGCTTCAGGACCTGTGAGTGACCACGAGGACAGGGACAGGCAGGAGCTCCCCCCTGCAGGAAGGGCCTGGGGTTCAGGGGACATGAGTGGGCCAGGGTCCAGAAGGGCATCCCTACTGGACCCCCACCCACGCCCCATTAGCCCTGTTAGGTCAGATTTGGTTTGGGGGCCAGGGTGTATTTGTGTGTGTGGGTGTGTCTGTGTGTGAGTGTTAGTATGAGTTTTTGCATAGGTGATAGTGTGGGTCAGAATGTGAGTGTGAATGTGTGTGATTGGGTGAATGTGCCAGTATGTACTCCAGTGTTCATGTATGTGTCATGGTGAGTTTGTGCATCTGGCTATGTGTGTGAGAGAGAACAGGAACCACTTACTGCTGGACTCAAGTGTTGAGAGGAGCAAGGTAGTCACTCCTTCAACTCTCAAGGCACAATAATGACCTAGGGTCCAAATGGATGCCCTTGGGTTGAAAGCAGCTTCAGGCTGCCTGGGACCTAGCCTACATGCTGGGGTTGGGCCCAACAAGTGGGGACTTCACAAGTATATGGAGCCTTCTTCTGCCCTTCTGGGGCCTCTTGTCGGATGCTAACATCTTCTCCAGTGCCCTTCCCTTCCCATCCCTCAGAAACCTTATCCTGCTGTAATGGGCTGCCCTAAAGACCAGAATTCCACCCCACCAGCACAGGCTGCCAAGTGGAGCGGGGGGTGGGGGGAGCTCATCAACAGTGTCCTTTATGTGGTGCAAGATTGTGTGGCAAGGCAACTTTTGTCACTTTGGCTTCTATGTCTGGAAGGGCCATGGAGCTGAAGTTGCTGGTCAGTCACAGGTGATGTCTCAGAAATATCAGATACAGTCACAGAGTGGACACAAAAGTGACACATAGATATCACTATGGGGTGATATCCCTAGAGGATGAGCACGGCCCTCCCAGACCTGTCCAGCCCCAGCAAGTGACCCCAATTTCACAGTGCTTTTATGGCGAAGGTTCTGTGTGGCTTTGAGATAATCTCCACAGAGATCTCTATCCCATGGGATAAGGGGCCAGACTGTGGCCGGTGGAATAACAGGAAGAGCAGGTACCAGATGGTGGAGCCACCATGCAGCCCAGCCTGCCTGGCCCAGTCTCCACAAATATCCACTGCCAGTATTGAGAGCGACCTCTGCTGGGAGGAAGTTAAACCAAGGCACAATTTAGCAATTAACACTCCCCCATGGTGCAGAGGCTCAGAATGAGTGTGGGCATTATTAGATAAAACCACAGACCCTTCTATTTGGGGGCTCCCTGTCTACCTTCAGGGTCCTGAGTTGATGTTCTTGTCTGCAGTTCCTTCAAGCTAGTTCAAGCAGTGGAACTGCTGCTGTCCTCACTGTTGTGGAAATGTTCAAAGAAGGCCTGAAGGCCTTGTTCCAGTTTCCATCCAGTTGAGGGTGGGCACCAAATCTGCTTATGAAAACAATGTATGGAAAACATGTATCAAGCTCAGGCAGGTTTAGGCATCTTTCCAGTATCTCATCTTCCTCTGTTACTCGTGTTCCCTTCCCCTCTTTTCTTGTCCCACTTTTATCCTCTTTATTATTAAGTCAGTCAATAACATTTTTCAAAGACGAGCCTTCTTTTCCTCAACGATGATGTGGCCCAGAAAATGCAGACATCTGGAGGCTGTTACTAAATGCAAAGAGCTGGCAAACACTGGCTCTTCCAGGACTACTGGTGGGAGTGGGAGAGATAGACAAGACAAACTCAGTCCTAAATGCCCACCTGGTGACATGTATCTCATCTCCTGGAGTTAACTCTGAAGGGATTTCATGCAGTCACAAAAGCTTTAGAGCTCCTCAAAGGAAAGTAGGTATTTAAATACCTGATATTGTTCTTACTTTGGCATTCATGTGATTTGCATTGAACTATGTGACTCAGTATCATAAAGTAAAAATAGGACTTAATCTCTTCCTCGCCTGTTTGGAAGGTGACTGCATATGGTGTGTTGTGTTCTGCATTGGAGAGTGAAAAGCTAAATTGTCTCATAAATTGAACCACCTGCTTATCCTGATTAGAGAATGGTACTTAACATCACCTACAGGCAATAACATTATTTTATATTTCTTTTAATTCATACCTGAATCTTTGTCTCGTAACACATTTCCTCATGCTCATGCATTATTACTTTCACTTGAAGTTAATCAAGAATGTTCAATCCTTGTACTGTAGCCAAACAAATTAAATATCAGCAGATACAGGAAGATGTGGGTGGTGTTTCTGTTCTTTGGGGGCTCAAAAAAAATTCTTGGAGTTTATAGGAAAGAAGAAAAGAGCCCTAAGATTTGGTAAATCTTGTGGGTGAAGTTACAGCTTTCTGAGGAGAGGTTCCTTAGAAATTTCCAGGAAGGCTGGTCGTGCTGAAGAATCTGAACGTGCATGCAAGTGGCAGCATGCATACTGGGAATGACACTGCAGCCCCTGGGATTCCTAAATCCCTGCACTAATGCAGGGTTTCCGGGGAAATCCCCCAAGTCTTTCCTACTCCCTCAAGCAGCCCGCTGAGTCGCTAAGGTGCGGAGCTGTCCGAGGTTCTGGAGAATTGGCTTCCAGCTGGCCTCAGCGGGTCTGGTAGGAAAAAAAGGACTTAAGGGCACGGAGCAGAAGCAAGAGCTGAGGGCCACGGCCTCTGTGAGGATCCCCCAAAGCTAATCACAGAAAGGAACAGGAGGAAACAGCTGTGGAGGCTTTTACTGCATCACTTCAAATGAACCCATCCACAATCCCTATTTAAAGAATTACGAGCTAATAAGAGGAAACATTTTCTGAGTCAGGCTCCTCACATGTAAGAATGTATTTAGTTCTCACAGTCCTGTGAGGTAGGAGGTGGTGTTATTCCCTCTTTCAAGATGAAGAAATGAGTCTCTGAGAGAAAAAGGGCTTGCCCAAGGTCACGCAGAAGGGGAAGAGTTTAGTTTCCACCCTGGATCTCCAGAACTTCTCCTTACCACTGTTTCCCTACTGCTATTATAGAAACTAAACTCAAGTATTGAACTGTCCTATATAAGGTTCTAACCAAATTTTAGAGACGTGGGATTGGGGATTAATGAGGATTCAGACACAAATCACAAAGAGTCCTTTCAAGTTCTGCAAGGATAATGCCACATACATTACATCTTATCCTGGCAAAAGGCTTGTTACCTGAACTTGGTTACAAATGAAGGGAAACGTATAATGACCCTCATGACCAGTAGTCCAGGGTTTTCTTTCCAGAGTGGAAAGTTTTTCACAGGAAGCCAAGCCTGGATGGCAACAAAGTGGTTTTTTGTTTGTTTTTGAAAGGAAGCTAAAAAAGAAAAAAAAAAAAAAAAAAAAAAGCAAGCTGTTATTATTTGACAAGGAGTGCATATAGAGCCAAAGAAATAGGGTTTATCTATATTTTCTAGCATTCTGTTCCAAAGCTGAGTACA